CGGCAATAGCATATAAGAAGAGGACGCGAAACACAATGAAACTAAGACATTCTTTTCCTGTATTTGTTCCTGCAAAATCAAATAAATATGAGTGTTTCTAAATAATTTCATAAACTGTAATACAAAAAACTCATTTGATTTTGCAAGAAACAAAACAAAGAAAGAAATGTTTTAGTTTTGCACTTTAGTTCAAGTATGTTTCTTTATGTGCCGTCTCCCCTTTGATCATAGCCGATCATGGCTCTCCACAGCTTCCTGCGTCTGGATTACTTAATAAAATCGTCTTTCTCTTATTTCTCCTAAATCCTGCTCCGCCATCCATTTTCTCGAACTCACTACGTATGTTTTACATTGTTTTCTTTTTCCCTGTCCTGTGTATGTCCCGTGAGTATTAGATTTTCCAAGCCCTCTTTCCTCATTATGTGCCGCAGAAACCTCAACATTCTCTTCTTGATAAGTTTCCATTTTATGTCACGTTTGATTTTAGTTCAGAAGGTGCTCAGCATCCTTCTGTAGAACCACATTTTTGTTGTGTCAAGTCTCTTCTTCATTTGTATGGCGATTCTCCATCATTCACTGCCATAGAGGGACGATATTACATAACAGTCCAATAGTCTTTTGTTTGTTTCTAAGGAAATTTTGCTTTCCTAATGCGTACTTGAATTATAGTGTCACACTTATGTTCCGCTATTAAAACAATTCCCTCATAGTTCAAATCGCTTTACTTATTTAAATTTCGGTATCTTTAATTTGTAATTTTCATGTTGCGCTGTTTCATTTTGTTAAAAAACAAGCATTCTCTCTCTTTTTATTTTATCTTTAGTCCATTAGTCTCGTTTTTCTTCACTTCCTTCTGTAGGAGTTCTTGTAGTTCCCTCTCGTCTATCAGCAAGATATCATAGGTATATTTTTAGTTAACAAGATTGTGTAAGGAATCCTGGATGGACTTCTAATTCTCTCAGAATCACCTTGAATAATTCCGACGAGAAAATACAACCCTTTCATATAACGCCTTCTATATGTGTATATTTAATGAAATCATTTTTATCAATACGCAGACGGTTGACAGTCAGTATATGTTCTGGATTGTAAAGGGTGTTTCATTAAGATGGATTATATATGAGGGTGTTTCATTAAGGCGGATTATATATGAAGGTGTTTCATTAAGGCGGATTATATAGGGGTGTTTCATTAAGACGGATTATATATAAGGTGTTTCATTAAGACGGATTATATAAGAGGGTGTTTCATTAAGGAGGATTATATATAAGGTGTTTCATGAAGACGGATTATATATGAGGGTGTTTCATTAAGGCGGATTATATATATGGGGTGTTTCATTAAGACGGATTATATATGAGGGTGTTTCATTAAGGCGGATTATATAGGGGGGGTTTCATTAAGGCGGATTATATATGAGGGTGTTTCATTAAGGCGGATTATATATGAAGGTGTTTCATTAAGGCGGATTATATAGGGGGTGTTTCATTAAGACGGATTATATATAAGGTGTTTCATATAGACGGATTATATATGAGGGTGTTTCATTAAGGCGGATTATATATGAGGGTGTTTCATTAAGGCGGATTATATATGAGGGTGTTTCATTAAGGCGGATAAATGTCAGCAGTAGATAAACCAGTGTTATTGGTGAAAAGTTTACTTATTTCTCTATTGGGTCATATTATTTAAGTCATGACAATTATGTGTGAAAAAATAATATTGTCCGAATGTCCGTCAAATCTGAAAGAATTAGATGCTTAAACTTAATTCCCATTTAAAATCAGTCGAAGTTATTGAAACACTCTTTAGAATTATCCCTCAGAAATATGTCAAGGCTACCCCCAAAAGCTTCATAGCTGAAAATTAGAAACTACAAAACTATATACGATTTGTAATTCAGAGATTCCTTCTCCTAAACTGGTTGCCAACCACCGCAAGACAATTCAGTCAGAGCCTAATATTTAAAACAGAGCTGGGTAGAAAACAGTTAGTTTCAAGTTTTACTGAATGATATTTTAATGGAAGCAAATATAACGAACACGGTTTGTTAACAATTAAATGTACTTCCTTATCCACAAGGAGCTCATACCTGGATCAATCAGTTTTTTTTTACCAGTTTTTATGTATTAATGAAATATGCAGCAATAAAAAGTAACATTGCATTGAATTTACTTGCATAAAAAGCCTCGATATTTTCAATATATTTAAAGTATAGTCTCGATCCAATGTATTTGGAAAGTATGTCTACACCATGGAGTTCCCATTGTAATTTATAAATGCTGTTCGTAAAGAGAAGCCATAATCTGCTGGGAAAAAAAATTGTCATAAACGTAAATGATGTTCACAAAACGAAAGCAGAATGGTTATTGAATCAAGGAAACATTCGAGGGGAGTGCGGAATGGGGAGTAAAATTAAAACTGAATTGGCCAAATATTATGACTAGGTATTATCTTAGATTTCTTCCACGTGCTGGAATTTTTTTAGTAGAACAAAGCAAATTCTTCTAAAAATGAATGAGATACATTGGACTGGGAAAAGCATTTTCTCAGAAGAATTGAACTTTCTAAGTTCTTGATAATTCACAGTTTCTGAAATATATTATGAAACCATAAAAAGAATCGGGAGCAATAAAAAATAATAGGGAAAAATTTGTGAAAATTGAAAAAATTGTAGTCCTTTGATGTAATGCAAAGATCAATTCGAAAAGATATCCACATGTACTCGAATATAGATGAAAATTCGAAGTTGATCAAAATTATTTTAACAGAAAGCGAATCCTACATTTATGGAATATATATATATATATATATATATATATATATATATATATATATATATATAACATTTATTTTAAACGTTATTTTGATTGCATACGCATATTTATGTAGACGCTCTATCTATATATTTATTAAACAGCATATTTTTTTATTTTCGAATACCAGCCTGAATATTCGAGAATTCTTATTAAAGAAAATTTATTTTGATTATATCTCTTTTTTGTTTTCATTTGTTTTCTAGGGAGCATCTAATTATTCAAGAAAATTTATCTTTATTTTTCTAATTTCTGCGGGGTATTTTTATTTTTGTGTTTTGTGTTAAACCCGGATTTTTCCTTGAGTGTGGCATGTGTGTTAAATCTTTGATTTAAGATGAACTGTGCATTCCATCTCATTCTTTTCATAACGTGTTCCATATTTTCTGCTACTTACAGTTTTACGTGCATCCTGGTGGGTTGGTATAGAGAATAGCCGATGTTAGATTTTAAATAGTGAACATTAGGTCATAAATATAGCGAGATAACTCTGATCTTTACTAGAAGTGTAAATTAATAACATAACTAGAGGAAATAAGTATAGTCTCAAGTCATGCGATATTTATGGGTGAAATTGCTCAATGTTAGCTAAATAGCGTGTATTCGTATAAGAGTGGACCCCGAGGTAAACACCGAATGGCGACAATCTGTTCGAAGCTTGAACCCAATGTTCACACCATATATGTTGGGTGGTATCTCCACTATTTATATATACTGACCTATAGAGAATTATGCTTAGGAAGATCAGGTATTTCGGATTTATTATGATAGTCTAACGGTTACTGGTCAGGCAACATTATTTGATATTCAATTTAAATTTTTAAAAATATGTATTAAACATTTTCCAGTTGCGTTCAATAAACGTTATCCTGAGGAAAAGACGGCGGATTTGAATTCGAGTAAATAAATATGGATCGTTAGTGTGATCGCTTGAAAAACAGCCGACCAGACAAAGGCAGCGACATTTTTGTTTAAAAATGCTTTATATATATATATATATATATATATATATATATATATATGTCTCATTTACTACTTTAGACAAGTTTTGTCCACGTATTTTCAATAGGATCCTCTCATATTCACGGACAATCTTCTTAGTATCCTTACTAAAGGGAGAGAGAAAAATACCATGTTGATACCTCTTCATTTATTCCAAGTACTTTCGACATAAGCACAATGTCATCATCATTGTGCTGTTTTTTGTTCTAAGATAAATTGTTGTGTTCATCTGAAAAGTTAATTGTTTTATTGTGAAATGAAAAATGCAAAGGTTATTTACTGTACGGGTTAAATGTCGTGTCTGAAACCTCAGTGGAATTAACTAAGTTTGAAATGTCTATATGGTAAAAAACAAAGACTAAACAAAACAATAAAACTATTAGTTAAAACTTAGATATTCTTTCTACTGTAAACATTTTAAAACATTTGTGCAGTATCCATAATTAATTTTATTAAATGTTGGTTTCATTTTTCATATAGAAAACTTCACCTTTTTTTTTAGTTTCTTTTTTTTTAGTTTCTGTCTATTTTCATGAAAAATTATAGATATATTTTCAACAAGAAATTTTCTAAATTGCGAAGATGAACGGCTATGTTGTTGTAAATGTTGTGACATATTTGATGCATCATTCAAATGAAAACTCAACCATCGAGACAATGTAGTAGTAGAATGACCAAATATATATTATTTTTTCTGTTAGAAGATACAATATTATCTAAATTATTCAATGAGACATGACTTAATGAAAACATGCAGCCAAAATATACGCAATATGGTTTATGTGGTGATTGCATGAAAGTATGTATGAATTGAAACAATCTCCTGTAATATATCTAAATTATAACGGAAATTCAAAGAGAAAATTCTGTCTGGTTGCTAAAATGTAAATGCGATTATTATAAACGTCAAGTAATTTAAAGAGTGTTACACCTGGTGAAACTTTTGATTAAAATATGATTTGTTTTTCGAGATTATCTCATTAATAAAGATTTTTCATTTAAAGCATGCAAGTTAATTTCTCTTTCAAATCTCAAATTTTTTAATTGGCTATGAATAAGAAAAATGAACACCCGAATTAATAACTTCAGTAAGACTAAAAATGTTATAGAAATTGCGTTTGTCTCAAGGTCACACAGAAAAGACAAACTGACAGTCACTATACAATGTTAATTCTTTTATAGAATGTTTTCATCTCATTTCTACATATCAACATCTTTCTTCTTCTATCTATCTATCTATCTATCTATCTATTTAGACACGTTTAGATATATATATATATATATATATATATATATATATATATATATATATATATATATATTATACGATAAAGTTAATTGGTAATCCGTATAGATAATTCCAGGAGGATATAAATCCTGAGAGTTCAGTGTAAGAAAACAGAGCAAGTAATAATTACCTATCAAATCGAATTTTATTGTTCTCGCGAAATGAAATATTATCATGGCTTGCTGAAGTCTCCGATTTGTTATATATATATATATATATATGTGTGTGTGTCTGTGTCTGTGTGTCTATAATATAATATATATAGGATTTTGTATTTTATTTGGGAAGTAGCATACTTTTAGACAATACAAATACCTTCATCCGCATGTAAAAAAAGGCTAGAAATAATGGAAACATTATTAATAAAAAAAAAACATCAACTATGAATACGGCCACAAGGTGGAACAACTTCCCAACAGAGCTCTTTAGATGTAAATTTAGTCATGTTACAAACGAGGAGCGAGCATTGTCATGATGAATAATCATATTGTATCACCAGTCAGGTATTTCTAGCTGAACAGTCTCTTTGAGTCTTGATTTGTTCAACATACACGTTACCATTCAGGCCTTACAAGTTTATAAATCAAACATTAGTTCATGCATTGAATATTGCTGTCATATCTGGTCTGGTGTTCCTGCTATATCTCTCGAGCTACTTGATAAACTCCAAAGAAATATCTGCAATATTATCAGTTCTGGCATGGCATCTCCACTTCAGTCACTTTCCCATGACCGTCGTGTTGCTTGCCTGCGTGTTTTTCTATGAATATTTTCATGTCAATTGTTCCGATATGCTTTTCTCCTTCATACCTCGACCGAATGAACGCCGTACTAGATTGGTAAATATGTCTCATCGTTTTACTGTTGAAATAGTTAAATATAACCCAAAGTTAACCCATATATATATATATATATATATATAAACCGGTGTTCTTATTGATATTTTTATTTTTTCAAAAGAGAGCGCAATGCAAATTTACAGAGCATAAATATTATAAATTAAATGATTTAAAATATGCTTTCTTCCCTACACAGGAATTACCATGTTTCAAACACCGAAGCTAAAACTTCAAATTTATTTATATAATTAAATTAAAAGCATTAGTTCCGTTTCATCCTCATTTTATTTAATTATATAATTAAATTTGAAGTTTTTAGCTTCGGTTTTTGAAACATGGTAATTTCTGTCTAACGAAGAAACCATATTTTAAATCAGTTATATATATATATATATATATATATATATATATATATATATGACGTGACGATTGCGTTTAATCATAAAACAGACCGTCGCCGCTGGGTGTTGACATCAATGTTTACGTTTATATTTACATTAGCTCTGTCCCTGATATCGAGTACTTTAACTCATAAATATTCAGTCGGTTATGTTCCATGGGTGATACACGCTTAGACGATCATGTATCTTTCGATATATGACTGACGATGCAGATATTTTTCCCGCAGTAGGTAACCATCTCTTTTTGCGGTAGACCAGTTACTATCCAAGGCTGTAGAACCAAGTTTGTCCTGCTATTTATCTAAATTCAGTTGTTCATATCACAAACTTCTTGGAACATAGACTGAGTTGAGTTCTTCAGATCACAAACTCTGTGGAACATCAAAGCCACACGTCACGAAATCTCTCACTTTAATTCTGAGTTTAATTCCTTGGCATTTTGAAAAAATAAAACTGATTTCTCAATTCACAATATTTTGGAGATATTTTAAACTTAATTTAAAACAAAAAGTTAAAGTTTTCTGTTACTTTAAACACAATATGAATTAAAAAAAAAATTAAAATCGCTAAATTTTTGCTATTTTAGAATTTGAATCTTTAACTGTTCATATTGACACAAATCAAAATGAAGATGAAAAGCATCCTGATTCCAAAATTTAGAGCAAGTTTGGCCAGAGTTAGAGGGGTTTCAGACATACGGATGGACAAACAAAAGTTTCCGTTTATTTATATGAATAGAAAAAAGATTTGAATTTTTATCTGTTCTCTCGGACATAAAACCCAATGCTGGATATTCAAGTAACAGATGAAGTGCAGATTAACAATCCTGGGATTATCTTGATGCCTAAAAGACGTGTGGTCCGAGGAAGAGAAGTTTCAAACACACGGAAGGATACGTAGAATGTACCGTTTATCTATCTAGAAGTTTCTACTTAATAAGCGAATAGACTTTATCTTGATTATAAATTTGTTGCGTATTTCAAATGTACCCACAAAAAAATATATGAACCGAAATTCCCGAGGATTCAACAGCTGAAATGTAGTGATAACAACAACAAAGATGAGGGAAATACTTCAAATATAAATAGTTTAAATAATGGTAACTGATCCCTGAAATTCACACAAATCTGCAAATCTTTATTCTTTAGGCAGATTATAAGTTGTCCCACTTACCTTCTGTTATACTACCTATTCTATGATAAATAGACTCTCCCACAGATAATAAGTAGTAGTATTAGCAGTAGCAGTTTGCCAGGGAGCTCAGTTGTTTCTGGGGGGGGGATTACTAACATCTTTTTATTTAGTTTCTTGTAAATATATTATGTCATATTGTATATACTCATTGGGGATCTTTTAAAAATTGTTGTTTTTATGCCCCCCCCCAGACAATATTTGTACATAAGGGGAGTATTTAGGATTTTCATTGAGTCAAAGAGGTATTTTGGTGTATGTAGTAAGAAAGGTATGGATAAATGTGTTGTTTTGGCGAAAGGAATATTGTTTTGTATGATAGGGTCAGTGGTTGTGGCTAGCTAAGTTTTATATTAAGACAAGTGATGACCGTCCTTTATCCCAACCCCCTTTTTTGCCTTGTGCCACATTTGTTGTATTTTTACTAAAATAAATATTGCCAGGGAGCTCAGTAGCTGAGTAAGTCAGTTGGTGTCGGACATTAAAGTATGAGCCCCACAACTAGATTGCTGCGTCATTAACTATTATTGCAAGTTCATAATGTTTTGTACGTCGAACCTAATTTAGAACCGACTTAGTGAAGTACAAGCCTCCACTGTGAAAAACTACTCTACAACACCTTCATTATGTCCTGTAAGTGTCAAATTCTCTATCAACACCGATCTGATTCGGAACTGCCATCTGGATGAACAGAAGTGATCTGAGGACAGACTGTTGGGCCTCAAACTCTCACCTGATCTCAAGCTAAGGAGACAGATCAGGCCAAAAATGATGTACTGTCGTCCTATTCAATCGAGAGCTTCCCCGACCGCAGTCTCCAGCCTTGATAGAATTCAAAAGTTATCTCCAGGCCCTTGCGGGTGACGAACTATTCTCCTCCATTTTAACCTCTCTCCCACAGGCGGCATGTGGCAAGCCTCCTACTGTTCTACAGTTACGTCCAATAAATTCCCTGGTCCGGCCGAGGTAACCTGTCACAGCAAGAACACGCCATATCACTAACATAGTAGCAAACCATCCATATTCACTCCGTATCTCATTAGTTCTTCTCGATCTGCTTCTTTCCCGTGAATGACTGTCCTGGGGAATCGACTCCAAACAGAATGTTTCCCCGATTACTACAACCATAACCTGTTCAAGGCTAGGGTTAACCGTTTTCTTCCACTTGTATACACTCAAATGGCCTCGACACGTAACCTTCTAATTCGTGTGGACTTGTAAAGGGTAAATCACCTTGTAAAAAATCCCTATTACGGGCCCTAGAAATTTCAACTATCTATTTCTGATTCTAAATATATGCTTCCTTTTATTTCTATTTGCTAACATCTCATCCAGTGCATACCTACATTAGTTCCTTTTTCTCCTTCGGTCCATTCACATGAACCTGTATACAGAATTCGGCAAGATACACCTAATGTCCTTATAGATCCAGAAAACACATTGAACCTATCGGAGTAGCGTAAATTCCATGAACTTACAAAAGAATCGACAGAATATAAATGGATCAGTTGGTCACTCTGATGCTGGCATCAAAATGGGTCCAAAATAACCGCTGCAACAGAGGTAACCTCCCACAATATCGCAACAACAAATTAAAGGAATTACAAGCTAAGCGTGACAAGTTAGTGTAAGCTAGTGTCTTTGCCCGACTTGAAAGTATTGGCGTTTCGACTGGATACATCAATCACCTCTTTCCTCGTTAACATTCTGAACAGTGGAGACCATTTTGGCACAGCTTTCGCTCGTTCTGTCAGCTAATCGAAACCACAGCGAGTAGAATATTCAGTTTGTAGGCATTAAGCTGTAAATCGCCTGGCAATTTTCTAGATTGCGGAATGCTGTTATCTCCTCAATATCAGACAATCAAGACGTGAAGAGCTTCTACAATTTATTGTTCAATATGGAGATGATAGCGTGTTACCAAATTTTCGTATTGCTGTTGAAATGCTTCGAACAATTACAATTTCCAAAAGATCTTTTCGTACGTTGAAGACAATGTACAATTTGAGAGAACTAGATTTTTTTCTTTGCAGCAAGCTGACGCCTGTTCAAATCCTCACCGTATTTAGAAGTATTTGACGTTATCGAGAACATCATTTGTCGAGATTTATAAACTCCATGTTTCGTTCAATTTCGCAAAGTAAGTGATGATATATAAAAACGTAAAGAAAAAGATAGGCACAATATATCATTTTTATTAAATAAGTACTAATTATTTTAATCATTAAATTGGTTTTAAAATAGTAGGTGTTATTTGTATGTTAAATAAGAAAACGTAATTATTCCAACCTAAAATTAATGAAAATTTATTGTACTTAGCTACTCAACATAGTAAAACCAACAATATATCATATTCTCTCCAGCATTTGGTTTCGATCAGTCAATGTATGGCTATTTTAGAAGGTGTAACAGACAGACTAACGGAAGTCGCAGAATTTTTTATATATAGATTCATGCACCATTTATTTTGCGTGATCATGTATTCTGCGAGGAAACTGAAAATGGTAACTTTCAAAATAGGGTACGAAATCAGTGAAAGGAAGAAAGGTACTTTCTTCCAGCGCTAATGCAATAACTTGTTCAAATATAACTTTTATTCTAGCGACATTATTCAGTAGTAAATGGGTGTTACACGTTTGGAATGGTCGCGGTTGCCGTTGTCCATTGGGAGAAAAATTTGAAAGTAAATGAATTAAACCTTTTCAAACGAAATGGACTTCAACACTTGGAATATTTTTATATATTAATATGAAGAACAACTTGACTCGCAAAAGAAAAGAAGGAGAAAAGGACATTTACGTGTATACAGAATTATACAACTGACCGTCTTCTTTGTGTGAGCGTATGCGAGTGTCTATGTGTTTTGTTTCCGTATTGGCCCTATACGATCTCGGCGTAGGACGATAGCCTTTATGCATCTTCCTTATATAATCCCGAATAGAACGCCACCTAACAGGCGTCCTGGCAGACAAGTTTGGCAATTTCGCAATAATATCATAATTCCTCAATGTTTAGTTTAAAAGATTTTTTTTAAAAATCATTTCACCCCAAGTACGCGGTAATGCCAATAGTACGCAGTGAGTTGGAGGGGGTGAAACTGAAAGAGAAGATTGAGAATTGGGGGGGATTGAGGAAAGCACAAAAAGGAACAGCGGAAGATGGCGATTGGCGTTGTATTTACATTTTTGAAGAGAGTAGTTATCAGCGAAGCAAGAAATCAAAAGGCAGTTCCACATGTGGGAAGTGCGAGAAAAGAAACTGTCGAAGGGTGGGACCGAAATGCCACTCGAGTAGCACACTTGAATTCATGTAGTCGGGGCATGAGGGGGAAAATCTTTTCAGAGTAGTTCCCTGAAAATGTTTGTATAAAAGACAGGGAAGCCATGTCACGTTCGTGAGAAAGTGACTGAAGTCGATATGCCTAATTGAAATATTCGTTTTGTGGAGCATTTTACTGTTACTCAAAAAGTTAAAAGATGATTTTATATTTTGGGATGCTTTTATATTTGTTCGAAATTAAAAATGAACATGGCAATTATAGAAACTTTTCTATAATCTGAAGTGATGTACTTTAAATTCTCTTTTGTGATAACTGTGTTGCCAAGATTTCGTGAAAGAATCTGTTCATTTAGTGCCATTAGATAGTCATAATTTAAATTACCTTTAAATAAAATATTTAAAAAATTTTTTTTTTGTTCAATTATCACAGTTAATTATATATATTATTAAAGTTTTCACTTCGCTTTTTGTACTAGTAGATCTCCGTTTCACTTTCGTAGGGTAGATGTTGTTGAAACAGAAGAATAATTTCAGTGACTTCGCATGGGCGATACTTCAGGACTGTTATAGAAACATTAGAAAACTTAGACGATTTCAGCATCGACACGATTACAAAATAAATGAATTACGCAGCAGTGGTGACATATTGGAAAAAACTTAGATCTATTTCTATAGCGCTGACAAAAAAAAAGCCAGGTGAAAATGACTGCGATATTGAACCACATAAAAAAAGCAATAACAAAAAAAAAAAAAAAAACTTATCATCGGATTTCTGACGAATAGCGTGCATATCAGAATTAGATCAAAGATAAGGCAAGGGTATTAGTTTAAAAAAGGCCAACAGAATAAGTAATGTGATAATTATCCTCAGAGTGATATCAAGATGAGTAATAAAAACGCAGAAGGATGTATACTTAACTTTTACAGATTAAGTAAACGCGTTTGTTTTGGCGTGACCTAAAGAACTATTTGAACTGCTAGGTAAGCTTTGTTTAAGACATGTATTAGAATAATTCAGAACTTAGAATTGGAGCAAACAGGTTACATATGGATAGGAAAGTAACTGAGTATAGTCATAAAAATGAAGAGACGCAAGACAAGAATGTGTCTTATGGATAAACTTATTCAAGGCGATATTTAAAGAATTATAAGTGCTACCATTATTAATGGCGGCCACAATCTTAACAAATTAAGGCACAGTGTTGATTGCGAACACAGAAAGAAAACTACAGGAACTGAAGACAAAGTAGTAAAGAAAAGTTAGAAGAAAGGACTAAACATTAATTGCAAGTAGACAGAATGTCCGGTTATTAGCAAGAAGTTCAGACAGAATTAGGATATGACCATAAAAAAATGAAGAAAGTAAGAAAATATAGATATGTAGGAAGGGGTACCGAAATCCGAAGACGCATTGAAATAGTGAAAAATCTCATCCTTCACTTAATTCAAGTCTTAAGAAACAGGAAGATTTCATTCGAAACACAGAAATGTGTGCTGAAGTTTTGTGTTATATCAGTCCTCGTATCATTTCTTATCGAAGAAGCGGCAACTGAACACAAGTGGATAGTTCAATAGGAGGATGCTGAGAATAAAATGGATTGAACAAACGCGCAACGAGGAAGGTTTAAGGAAAATGGAAACAAAAATGACGCTTATCTTACAAAGAGACCGCCGAGACTTCAAGGATTCAAGAGGAAAGAAAGCTTGGAAAATTTGACACTCTCAGAACAAACATGAGGCAAGATGGATACAGCAGTTAACCGCCCTAAAAAGCGCGTGTAAATGAATGCTAAAAGAGCTAGTTTATCAAAAATGCATAGCTTATTAACAGCCACAAAAAAGAAGTTGTGATGTGCCTCACAGCCAACTTTCTGAATGGACACATCATCGCTGCTTCTGTTGTATATATATATATATATATATATATATATATATATATATATATATATATATATATATATATATATATATACTGTCGTTATCTGTTTGAATTAGTGGTGCTCTTATGTCCATCGTCTTTTGTGTCAAATTTTATATGTTCTAATGTTAATTATGTTTAAATGAAAATGTCCTGATGATGGTCTTAAATAGACCGAAACGTCCGACGTCGACATAATTGCATGTTAAGATTTTTGTTTGCTTTTTCTGTATTTTTCTTCATATATATATATATATATATATATATATGCCATAATTCTCTTTTTTTCATTTTTGGTGTATATTTATTATTTTATTCATTTTTTGCCAAAGGTTTCATCGCACAGAACATTTTCTCTCTTCGTGACTTGTGGAAACTGAAAGAGACGAGATTTGGTTCTACAGGAGGATTCCATATTCGGAGCGAGTAATCAAGGTGAAAATCTTAATGAAAGTTATTTAAAAAAAGCCCACGTATACTTAGAATCAGAGAGTTGAAATTCCTTCGAGATATAATGGGAGGAGGAGGGGATGGAATATTTAATACTCGCAGGACATATCGTGGGTAAGAACTAAAGTGCTCGTGTGTATGAATGGCTGAACGAGTGGTGACATGCTTGGCAAAGGGAAGATACATGACTGAGGAGGCATTTCTTTCTACGGTAGATCAGTTGCCATCCAATATTCTAGAACCCAGCCTGTCCTGCTATTTACCCATAGGTGAGGGGATAAGAAGATTCATACCTTTCCCAAGGGTATTAGTACATAAGTGAATGAAATTGATTCCAATGGAATACGATCTCGGATCTCCGATTCCTCAATCTGGACCTCCCTGATATATATATATATATATATATATATATATATATATATATATATATATATATATATATAGGTATCTATACTCGTTTCGAAAAAAAACCTTTCCCTGACGATCCGCTTAGGTGAAACCTGGGTAGGTTTGTCTGGCTCACTAGGTTTTATCTATCTATCTATCTATCTATCTATCTATCTATCTATCTATCTATGTGTGTGTGTGTGTGTGTGTGTGTGTGTGTGTGTGTGTATTTTTGAGTCAAATGTCAATTTTATATGAATACTTAAGAGATCTGTTACAAAAACCACACTGCGTTAGTATCTCAAAAATTCAAAATTCTTTTTAAAATACCGGTAGTTGCTGAATTGTAGTAACCTTTCCAATTTCTGATTAGTAAATATCGTTTTTTTTAATGACAATATCACCTGCTACAAATTAATACGGAATTAAAAAAGATTAAATTATTGTATATTATTAAAAAATTTAAAAATGAACACACTCCTTGTTCAAATTCATTATTCATCGAAAGAAATGTTTTCTCAAAACAATAGTCTCCATAATATATCCCATTCATAAAAGCGATTAAAATAATTTCTAATTAAAGAATGTCTTAGTTTTATTACACTTTTATTTTACTACTCAGAGCAGATTTTCGTTGACTGGTGTTTCTCTTTCACACAAAAATTGATTTAAATTCTCCAAGGACGTGTGCTTATAACTAATATAAGCATTAAGCAAATTAACAAAATGAATTTGTGTGTTCGAATGTTTCTTTATCTAAAACAAAAAGCAATTTGTTTAGACGAAAGTTTATAGAAAATGCTTTAATCACTAGATCATCCACAGTAAATTTGCGACCAGTTTTCTTACACAATTTAATATTTCTTGGCAGATCTTATATTATTAAATTGTGGGATATTTATGAGAAAAGAGATAATAATATGAACATCGATAAAGAAACTAAATGAAATTAAACAAACTACATACATAAACACATATTTAAAAAAATAATTTTTAAACGTTTCTATGCTCCTTTCCAATCCATTGCATGTATAACAACGTAGACATCACTTTAGTCTAGACTCATGGCGACAGACGAATACAGAGTGCGATGGATATATTGTTTCCCAAATTATGCAAACATGAAAATAACACTGATATCTCATTTTAACATATATATTCACCAAAATTACACAAAAATATTTTGGAACAGAAAAGAGTAAATTTATTCAATAAAATCGCCATTGGCTTCAACCACAACCACCATTGGAATCTCCTCCAACTCTTCTGGACAGTCTCCTTGTTTCAGTTGGTAAATGCAGCCATAATTCTTGCCTTCAGTTCATCTTTGGTTTTACAAGAAGTTTTGTTGGTCACTCGCTCAACTGCACCTCACGCATAATAATCAAGTAGGTTGCAGACTGGGGAGTGAGGTGGCCAGATGTAAAACGTGATTCCTCGAGGCGCTTGATGTAGGCCTCCGTGTTGAGTCTGAAGACTTCACTAACAGACACAAAAGTTCTTTTCTTATCGGAATGATTAGAATGAGTTTTCCAAGCTTCCGTACTTTCGTAATCACTATTACTCTCATCCAACTATTTTCGAATCCTCTGCACACTCCTCAGATTGACATTCAAATACTCTAAAATGCTTGTATTAGAGTTTGCGGTGCGAATGCCAAGCAATGGATTGCGTCATTGTGCTCTTTTTCTCTCAGACGGTGCCCAACTGGCCCTACTATTCCGTGCAGTCGACAAAAAACAAAAAAAACAACGCGCATGCGCAAAATTAAAATTATAAAATGGCGACAATTTACCCATCATACTCTGTGCATATGAATGTAAGATATAATAAATTTCACTGCAAGTGTTAAATGTAAAGGAACCGAGTTAACTTATTTATTAATGTAAGTATAACTTTTTATAATTATTATATTATGCAAAAGAACTGAGCTAATATATACTTATATTAACATAAATATAACATTACTCCTTACCTTAAGAGAATACTTCAAGTATTATTCACTGGGTAATCATAATCATGTAAATTATATCCAAATCTTATAGCAAGGATACTCTTCCTTTAACACACACACACACACACACACATATATATATATATATATATATATATATATATATATATATATATATCTCGACAAGCACTATTGTTTCACTCTGCCACCCGTGTGCCTTACTATCTTTTATTGATCCTTATACGACCCCTCAAAAATTTACTTTTTTTTTCAAACATATGGAAAAAAGGAGGTGTCATTCCACGTGCAGCCTGCTTACAAACACAAGTGTTCATAACCATTTTGGTTCTGACCTGTCGAGGTGCAACTAAACGACGAAACGAGGTTACATCTTTGCAGTGAGTAAATTGTTTTTGTCTACAGGAAAATAAAATTATAATAAATAATTATTTCTCTCTCTCGGTATTGAGACATCTTTTGAATTAATGCTGTGGACGCTAGAATTTATATATTATTTTTCGTTCTTAACATTCGAATATATATATATATATATATATATATATATATATATATATATATATATATATATATATTACATTGAGCTCTCTGGATTTTATCCTCCTTAGGTTTACCCATACGGATTACCTAATTTTCCTTAAACTATATATATATATATATATATATATTTATATATATATATATATGTATGTATGTATGTATGTATGTATGCATGTATGTATTTTGTGTGTGTGTGTGTTTTAATTAGTATGAAATATAGATCAAATGTTGATTCAAATCGAAGGCACGAACACTACGAGATATGACAAATACCCGTGCGGTCTACTTAACGAAGGAAAACAAGCACCAGAAAACTAAAACAATACCAGATTTTTCACTACTTAAATAATTATGTAGTTGATATTTTTATTATTGTAATATGGCACAAATCTTTGTATTACATTTATTTTTTAAATAGAAGGAGGTTCTGAATTTAACCGTTTTCAACAACCTGATGAAAATTCATGATCGTCTCTTAAATTTAAAATTTGTGAAAAAACTAAGTTTTTTATCATTGATTATAAGTACTTGTTTCAAAATAAATTCCTCACATTTCTCTTGATAAAGGCCGTCATTTTTATTATTGTTATTGCTAAAAGTAAATATTTGAGAAATCTATATAATAAAGGCGAATGTTATAGTTTCACTGTGTCACACTTTTTCAACTTTACACCAAGAGGGCGTAACCCACCTTATCATACTATTTTGAAATCAGGGGGACCCCATGTGCAAATTAAAAACATTCCGGGTCGGTTTCGGACCCGCATACCTGAAATTTTGGATTCCCATGTTTTGATTTCTGCAATTGTTTTCGGATTCCATTATGTCAGCTTATACTGATAAAACCAACTAAAGGGACGCAACTCCTATAACTTTCAGTAGCTCATGCTCAAACGGAAAAAAAAAATCTGGTTTTAAATTTCAGTATTTCAAAATAAAATTGTCCGTGTTTTCAACTTTACTCCGGACCTGCAATCCTGAAATTTTGAATTCCCAAGTTTTCATTATTGTGATTATTTTCGAGTTTTTTACGTGATTTTTGCGAGGAATTTTTTTTTGGTACAATAATTTGGAAATAAATTTGGGAATAATCGAAATTAATTGCGAAACCCAGCGAAGGTTACCCATGAAATAAACTAATTGTTTCTACGGTTAGTAAGGCCCTAAGTAAATAAAAGCGACTTCGGATTAAGTAAAGGCAGAAGAATTATCGTTGAACTTTTAAAACGTAAGATTTAATATCAATGCACTACATTAATGCAACGATCAACTTTGAGTTCCTTTGTAGTTTATTGCTGCCTATCACATCCACTTCTCCCTACCTATTTTGATGAAGGCCTAATTAAGAGCCCCCCCCCGCATGAACTAGCTTACATGCCGCCTGACAAGGCCAGATTTTAAGCAAGTAAAGATTAAACGAAGTAATTACCTACAGAACCAACTGAAAAAAAAATACACACAACAAAATAACGTTATGTCTTGAAACGCTATTCCTCCAAATTTGAAAATACGTCCATAATAAAAAATGTTACGTTACTGCAATCAATAAATATGAAAAAGATAAAAGAATAAAATTATTGACAAATGGTATTAATGATATCTGTCTATATTTCTGAGATGAAGTATTACATACACTATTTACATTATTCGGACTATTGTCCTCATCTTTGTCGCCATATTTATTAAAACGGCGGAAAAAAGGACGGAGCGTACAACGGCCGAAACGTTGCAATAAATATGGCGACAAGTATGAGGACAATAGTCCGGATAATGTAAATAGAATATTAATAATGTTTAAATGATGAATGATAGGGAAAGAAATCGAAGATACTGAATCAATAGTCAATAATAAACAAAACAAACATTATGACTCCAAATGTATTTCCTACAATTTCGAAGATTACGTTCTTTTTCATGAAAAAGAGAAACATTACGCTTAAATCTAAATATAGAATTATTCATCCCAGCGTGATAGTAATTTAACAAATACAACACATTAAATATTTCTAATATAATAATTCCTAATGATAATGAATATACTTAATAAATTAAACTTGTTTAAACACTTATTTAAAAATAAATCCCCAAAACAATCAATGCATACGCCGAGTTGTCTTAAAAATCTAATATCTATCATGAATAATTAAAATTTGTAATTTCATAATAATGTAAAGAAATTCTAATAAGAAAAAGTATAAGAATAGATAGGTAATTAAAAAAAAAAGAATTTCCTTTTAAAATACGACATCACTTTCTTTGAACAATGAAAACTCTAATATCCATATATATATATATATATATATATATAGATAGATAGATAGATAGATAGATATTGATTATTCATCATATTGTTCTATATAAATAAAATACATTGAGCTCTCTTTTGTGGATCAGTTTTAATATTTTTATATTACTAGGATATATATATATATATATATATATATATATATATATATATATATATATATATATATGTATAGTAATATAAAATAAATATATATATATAATCCAAGTGTGTCCTAGTAATATAAAATATTAAAACTGATCCACAAAAGAGAGCTCAATGTATTTTATTTATATATATATATATATATATATATATATATATATATATATATATATATATGTATAGTAAAGGTAAAATAAATCCGTGTGTATATAATCCAAGTGGGTCCTAGTAATATAAATATAATATATATATATATATATATATATATATATATATATATATATATACATACAAATATATATATATATATATATATATATATATATATATATATATATATATATATATATATATATATATATATATATATATACCCTATTTTTCTGTATTATGGAAACATAGAACCATCAATATACGCTCTCTATCGGAGAGAGATTTAAGTGATCATAAAACGCATTGTTTGAGGGTAATTTAGGTATGCCAAAGTAAATACTTTGGAGTGTTGGTTTTACTTTTCATTATCTATGTCCTCTTCTGTTCATATCTATCTTATCTTTTCATATCTATGTATCTATCTTTCCATCTATTTACGTTATTCTCTTCATTATCTATCTATCTATCTATCTATCTATCTATCTATCTATCTAATTTTGTTTTTCTCTTTCTCTATCTCTCCTTCTCTGACTTGGCGGGAAGCTAGCTTTTAAGAATTATACGTTTTGTTTTGAGGGGTTCAGACATTTTATTCGAGATGTTTTTGTTATTTTTGTATTTATTTAGGCAGATGTTTTCCTGAATTAAATTCTAATTTTACCTTCCTCTAAAAATAAAACGCATGGAATAAAATCATGTGGTAGAAAGATTACCAAATAATTTTATTCCACGCGATTTTATTTTTTTATTTTTTTTGTCCTATAACTTTGAGTCTTGGCAATATGTATGTAATATATAACTATTTTGAATGCTTTTCACGATTTTTCCATTTTCACTTATTTCTAAAAGCGAAATTTACTCTTTACATTTTAGGATTGCTTTTTTTTTTTAGTGAATATTTGTATTTTTCTAATTTTCGAATAAGTTGTATAACCAAATCAATATTATGTATAAACTGTCCAAAGTTCATGATTTTGTTCTGTTTCTGTTCATAGATTAACTTGTCAGTTATTGAAACTGACAAGAAAAGATTCAAAATACTCGAAGCTATTATTATAGAAAAGAAACAACAAGCCGTAAATAAAATATCGTTCACGAGAGGAGAAAACATTTTAAAGTGCATATAAAATTATATTATATATTATTTAGAACCGTCGTTTTCCAAACATGAAATCTATATCTATATTTCTGAGATGAGGTATTATGTACATGGCGCTACATGATCCTGAACAAAGAACTGTACCAAATTACCGAAACCATATCTCAAGAGGATTATCAACATCAGCAACGGCTAAAGTCGATATAACATGTAACTGGAAGAGAAAATTAGACATAATTCAGTCGACATTACACAGCACTTCAAATAAAAGATTAGGAAGGAAAGCAATATCAATACTGGAAAGAGAATTAACATTGAATTTATTTATTCTCCAGTATATTTCTATATTTCTGAGATGAGGTATTATGTTCACTATTTACATTATTCGAACTATTGTCCTCATCGTTGTCGCCATATCTATCACAAAGTTTCGGCCGTTGTACACTTCGGACTTCTTCAGGTGGTTGGAATTTCGAACTGAACCCATTATTTCGCTCACAAAAAACGCAAGGATACTTCTCTACATATAGTTATTTTCTAAGCGAAGCTTAGATGTGGCACAAGGCCGAAAGTATCGGGCACCTAGTGAGGATTGAACTCACTTTTCAGTTGTAACTCATCTAGCGAGACAAGATTGCTCACCATTATACCACCTCGAGGTGCCCTATAGAGATTTTCCAAGTGTAGACGTGGCACAAGACCGAAAATATGAGCCACCTAGTGAGAATCGAACTCACTACTCAGTCGAAATTCTTCTAGCGAGACAAGCTTGCTAACCATTTTGCCTCGAGATGCCTCGATTAGCGATTATATATTGATTTTCTAAGTGTAACTTAGATGTGGCACAAGGCTGAAAGTAGAGGGCACCTAGTGAGGATTGAACTCACTTTTCAGTAGTAACTGATCTAGTGAGACAAGCTTGCTAACCATTACACCACGCCGAGTTGCCCCACTTCTCTACATATAGCGTGTGAAAACAAATGCGATAACCTGCCTTTGTTAGCCGCCAACTAGCACAGTAACTGTGGCTAAGGCGGTACTGCCACCTTGGTGCCACCAGCAGCTTTTACAACCGGACAGGTTATTGTATTTGTGTACGTGTCAGTCTTCTGCGATTTCTTTTTAGAAATGCAACTTAAATTTTCGACATTGTTGCATTGTGTTGCGAGCATGGTTTTATTTAACTTTATTAATCTATATATCCAAGAAAATCTCCCATACGGCCCACAATCAGCTCTCGATAATGGCAGAGACCATCGAATGCCAACAAGCAGAACTTTAAAATCTAAAAATAAAATGAGTAAAATTAAAGAAATATATGAACATACGGGATAATCAAGAATTGATTTTTTCATTTTGGGTTTTGCACAACTTATATGAAAATTTATATATATATATATATATATATATATATATATATATATATAAACAGACAGACGTTGTCGATTTAAATTAACAAGGTATGTTCCCGCCTTAAACCGCTTTAAAAAGTCAGGGGAGGAGATCAACATCAGATTTCTCAGAAGAAAACATATTCTTGTTGGGCAGAGAACCTTTCAGTACATCCTCCTTTATTTTTTATAGATAAGCAATAAACTTTTCTTTCTTTTTAAGCATTTCACCCCTAGCAAGGCTGGAAGCCACTAGCACGCGAGGATTTACATAGGATTTAGAGCCAGAGCAGTTAGGAATGATAGAAGAAAAGGTGACGAGAAGGATAGTGGAGAGATCAATGCAATTAGAGATGTCGATTGACATTACATTTGAATAGTTAGAGGTTACAGCTATCAGGGAGACAGGAATAGGGAAGGGAATTCCACAGGCGAGAGGTGCGAGGTATGAAGCTATTGGAGTAGTTACCGATAATATATGTCGCATATTATACCTCTCCCTAAATTACCATTGCATACTTTGTTCTTTACTACGCACGGATCGATAAATGAATTAGTTAATTAATAGGAATCCCCTTCACACACGCACAAATAAAATAAAATCCCAAAAATTTCAACATTCAAGTCTGAGATCTTTCCATCGAGACAATGGTTGACACAACTCGCATATATTATATTACTGCTCAAAGGTCCATTAATGTTGTTATATGTTGTCTTTTTTTTTATAATGAGGTTCAACCTGCACAAAGCCCGAGAGCCACTTGAGGTAGAATTTTGCAGAGTAAGAGAAACGTATTATGCAGATATGTGGAGAAGATAACGGTTGTCCACAGACGTGAACAGGTTAAGATTTGTATGATTGTTGAAGCATATATGGGAGTCGGTTCCGTAAAGTATAGGTTCGTGGGAAGATTCTGTCCCAGTGGCACTTGTATCTCACCAATGTCATACAGAAATGAGACTTCGCTCTATTGAGAGTTTAAGTCCGGTCTAGACAGCCCTCCATCTGTAAACAGAGTGAGAGTCTGTTAGTATTTAACGTAATTTCAATGTAGATTTTATTCCACCTTTATTAAACGTACATATCGTTTTATGTTTAATTTTCGTTGCAATATATAATCACTCGATTCCAGTTCTGTTGAGTGAAGGTGAATTAGTGAAAAAGTAAAATTAGCCTAACTTTTTTATTTCTATCACACACACACACACACACACACACACACACACACACACACACACACACACACACACACACACACATATATATATATATATATATATATATATATATATATATATATGAATATATAAATAAAAAGAAAGAA